TCTTATGTCAATACCACACAGCTTTGATTTCTGTACCTCGACATGGCTAAGTCTGTAAATACAAGCATATGAGTCCTCCAACTTTATGCTTTTTTAAAAAAAAGTTTTAGCTCTACTTGTCCTTTGCATTTCTATATAAACTTTAGATCAACCTTATCAATTTCTATAAGAGGAAAACTGGATTTGGATTGGCATTGTGATAAAATCATAGAGCAACTGAAGTACAAGTGACATCTTAATACTGAGACTCTCGATCTACAATCTACTGTTCTTTAACTTCTTGCAGAAGTTGGGCAGTTAGAAATGTGTTATGGCTTAGACCTAAAACTGCCCCCAAAGCCTCCTGGTTTTGGGGGGTGACTGGGTTATGAAGGCTTTATAGCTGACTCACTCTTGAGAGGTGGGATCCGGTAGGCATGACCTGGAAGGGTTTCTCTCCCTTCTCAGCTCCTCCTTTGACTTGGCTTCTGGCCTGCTGTGAGGTGAACAGCTATTCCTTCCCCGGCCCTCTGCCATGCCCTCCTGCCTTGAAGCCAGCTGAATACAGACTGAACAGGAGTCACAGTAAACTTCCTTCCTTTTAGCTGTGGGCATCAGGTATTTTGTACCAGTGAAAAGAGACTAAAACGAAGTGTACACAAAGCACATGTATTTTACCAAACTTACCCAGAAGCATTTTATATTTGTTGACATTATCCTAGGCATTATTTAAAAACCTTTTCAATATCTATTGTTTTTCTTACTAGTAAAAGTTATTAGTTGATTTTGTATCTTGAACTTGTATTCTACAATTATAATAATTCAGTTATTAGTTCTAGTAGCTTTCTTGCAAATTTCATAGGATAGGTGCATGATTTTTAAAAAAATCTTCCCTACTAGCTGTTTGAACTTTTATTTCTTGAATTACTCCATTGGCTAGGAACCTAGAATCCCCAGAACAATTTTGAATAGAAGAGGTAAGAGTGAATATGGTCTAATTTATAATTTTAGGGAAAATAATTCAGTTTTTATCATTTATATAAAGGGGTTTTTCACAAACATGCTGTTATCAGATTGAAGTTCTTTTTAAGTCCTAGATAAGATATTTTATCATAAATGAATATTGAATATTTTCAAATGCTTTTTTCTACATCTACTGAGATAAGCACACTATTTTTTCTTTATTCTGTTAATATGTTGAATTATAAGGATTGCTTTTCAAATGCTCAATAACCTTGGACTCCAAAGGTCAATCTCTCTTATCATTTTTAAAATTTTCTGGATTTGATTTGCTAATATTTAAATTTGGTGTTTATTTTCATGAGGACTGTTAGCTACAAGTTCTTCCTTTCTTTTCTTTCTTTCAGATGTCTTGGGCTAGTTTTGTTGTCAGGGTAATTGTGGAATTGGCTGTAAATTGTCCATTCCCTTTGTCATTTCTGAATCTGTTTTCACTCACTAATTTTTCTCATGGTCATGCCTTGTAATTTACTTCTTTGGGAGCATATATGTAATTTAAATTGAATAATGATATTTGGAATGTTGTATTGTTCAGTCATGTTTTGTATTTTATTGTCTTTATAAATGATGGCCAGCCTTTGTTCTAGAAGCCTGGTAAATGTCCAGTGGATCAGCTTAATTCCCTCAAGGCTTGTTTCTAAGCCGTGCTAGGCTTTATCCAAGTCTTCTTTACCCCAGGGGTATTTTTTAGCACTTGTACAGAGGTGCCATTGATCAAGGTGAGCCATGAGCATTGTCAAGCACTGTTGTCCAGGTCGAGACTATTTCTCTGCTCTGCCGTTGTCTAGAATCCACACCTCAGCTCCCAGTCACTCTGTCCCAGCTGGGTCTGCATGGCCCCATGGAGTTTTGCCCTCTGTGTGGTCACAGCTTACTACCTCATCACCAGCAGAGAGTCACACACTCGCAGAGGCTTTGGGTTTGAGTTAGTGCAGGTTCTTCTTGTCCACAGATTCTAGTGCCCAAGTCCTCGGCTCCAGTCTGTTTCTCTCTAACACAGAGTGGCTGTCAGCTTCTGGTCAAGTTCCCCTCCACACTGGGGTGGACGAGGCCAGCGCCAGAAAGTCCACAGCTCGGGCTCCTGAGCCCAGCCCTGCCTGCGGTCCACTGAGACAGTGGCTCAGATTCTGCTTGTTAATTGTGAGATTGTAAATTCTTCCACTCCTTTGTGTAGAACAGTAAACTGAGGCTTAGAGAAACTAACTAGTAGGGATTTGGGCATACTTGAAGATCTAAAATTTCCTGTTTAATAGCTGTATGGCCTTTGGCAAAGTTACTTAACCTTCCATGTTGATTTTGAATGGAGAGGCGGCTGCTGGTAATATGCAAGGAGAAATTACCTGTTCTATTGACTTGATGATTAACTGAGCTGGTATCAGCGAAACTTCTCCCCAGTGTTTCACATACAGTGGACACTGGCTATGGTGTTTGTTAACTAGTGATATTGCTCATCATTATTTTGGTAGAATTCCTTTTTAAATAAAATATGATGTAAAATATATCATTTATTTATTTCTAAATGTTAACAAGTCTTTGGCCATCTCTAAATTATTACTGGTGACCTTGGATTTGGAAGAATTTCTGACTTCAAGTTCAGGAATGTAATATTGATGGCAAGAGGAATGCTTTGTCCATTATTTATTAAAGCAATTTCTTTTAAAAAGTCTCCAGGAAGAGAGAATAGGTAGGTTCGAGCCCACAGGACAAATCTTCTGGAAGCAATGACAAAGTACACTCATTTCCTGGAATGAAAGGCTTGTTGGTGTTTGTGGGGAAATTTGAAAGGAAAGTTCTGTGGACATCCGTCACAGATTCTCAGTTCAGACCATGTGGGATGAGGTGAATTAATCACAGTGATAGATGTCTTTAATATTCCCACTGCTGCAGTGAGGATCTCGGTGTCCTCCTCCAGGCCCACGTGGCAGAGACTTACTTGGTTCCTATGTGGTGCTGTGGGAGGTGATAGGAAGGCTTAAGATGTGAGGAGCATGGGTGGTCTCGCTTTCCTTTCCTGTGGGCAGGCCTGCTTCACAGTGCCCCTGTGCCATGATGTGAGCCACGACGTGTGCCATGACATAAGCCAGAAGCAATGGCATCATGTGGGCCTGGCCAGACCCTCCAAATCTGGGAGTCAAAATGCATCTTTTCTTTTTCTAAATTGATTTACCCCAAGTATCTGTTATGGTAGTGGAAAACCGATGAACACAAACACTGATAAGCAGTTTTATAATCTTAGGATATCCATAGCCAATCTGTTCCGGGAGTCTCCACGGAGACCAAAACTTGTGTATGCTTGGGTGTTTTAGATAAAATGATGTGGGATTGCATATCACCTACAGATTTCCTTCCATACACTTGGAATCATCTCCAGGTTACTGTCAGAGCTAACAATATAAAAGCTATGCAAATAGTCCTTATACTGTATGTAAAAGGAAAATGACAGAAAAAAAGAGTCTATTCAGTACAGATGCAATGTTTTTCTTAATTATCTGTGATCTGGGGAGGTTAATCAGTGGATCCAGGAACCTGTGGATACAGTAAGTTGACCACATGGCCACTCAAAAGACAACTTTCAAATCACACTTAGTTTTCACTAAAGAGTGCCATCAATTCTTGATCTTTTTTTCTTTCACTTTTTTTCTTCATGGTGGTGGGGATCAAAGGCAGGTCTCATGCATTCCAGGCAAGTGCTCTGCCACAAAGCCCTATCATCAGCCCTGAGCTCAAAAAAATCTTCATGATAAGTAGCCCACCAGAGAAAAACCAGGCTGAGGTAGCGTGGTCATTGTTAAAGGTATAACTGTGCGCTCAGTTGTTCCTCCTGAGCTTAAATATGGCAGGTAGGTTAGAAATAAAGCATGCTTGTCAGGCGTGTGCAATGAGATATTTCAGGGGAGCAAGAGGAAATGAGACATCTTCCCTGCTGAATGACCACAGCCAGTGTGCCAGCCAGTGGTGCCCTCTTATCCTTGGGTGGCAGTGGCGCCAGTTAATCAGCTCTTGCTTATGTGTCCATTGACAGTCATAAGCAGCACAAACAACAGCAAGTCCTGCCTGTGATCCGAATCCAGGCTTTCCTCCATTTCAGTGAAATTTGAAGCATATCAGAATAAAATTTATAATAAACCGGCATTAAAATTAGACAATCTACTTCTAAAAAAAACTGATTAATGATGATTTTGGCTTGAAAACAAAATACCCTACCTCAATGGAAGTTTAAATTGGTTAACAAAAATGTAGACATTTGGGATTACCTTTGAGAATGATGCTACAAAATTCCATGAACAGCTCCATAAATTCCCCAGTCCCCTTATTCCTTTGAGCTTTTTAAGACTTACCGTTGTAGGTAGTATAAAGTATACTCCTTGTGTAGAATTCTTGAAATGGAATCAACTTCTTTCTTTCGTGGCAGTTTAAATGCTTTCCCACTCCCTAGTCTTTTTTACCCCTACTTCCCATTCTTGAAAACTCCTTTCTAACTATGGTCATGAAAGTTAGAGAAAATGATTTTCTAGAAGCTGTCTCACTTGCAGGAATTTAAACTCTAGACAAGGTCGAGTGTTCAGAATTTGTTGTGTGTAGCTGAGAGACCCTTGGCACATTGCAGGCCTTTGGGGGTGGTCTCCTTGGGAACACAGATGTCCCCATGTGGCATGCCTCCCACCCTCACACCCACTTAGTGACGTGGAAGTTCAAGAGGAGTCTGAGCAGAACATCCCTGAGGCAGAAGCACACAGTGGAGATCCAAGTCCTTTGTTTCTTTTCCTTTCTTTTTTTCCTACTTCCCCATTCTTCTCCAAGAAAATAGAGACACTAACAGAAATGTAGATGCTTGCTTTGTGTGTCTGACTGGAAATAGCCCAAACATTGAGAAGCAAAAATCAAGACAGGTGTCTGATCTGCAAACATGGAAGTTCCCAATACATTTTGACAGAAGAAATTTCAAAAGGTGGAGAGGCAGTGAAACTCACACAGTTTTTAGGACAGTGACACACTGAAAATTAACAGCCCAATTATGTATTTAGGAAATGTTGATTTTGTACAATCCGGAGTTTTAGCAATGATTGCTAGAACAAGTCATTACATTTCTAAAAGAAATAAAACATGTACAGAGTTAGTATCAACCAAATAGATTAATGAGAAGCCACCATCCTGTCCCCTTCTTCATGAATGGAGCCCAGAGCTTGCAAGTCTCCTTATATCCTTGTCAGGCAGAGCAATTACCAATAGAGAGACAAAAAAATATGGTAAATCTCTGTCCCCTAAGAGCATCTGATGCACAGACCCTTTGTCTCTTTCTCACTTATTACAGAAGCTTCTCTCAGAGTCTGATTAGGTCTCCACTCTAAGAAACAATCCAAAGATACTCGTAATCAAGGGAAGACAATACCACTTCCATTTCCCAGTGACGTGGGGATGCTTTTAGTTAACTGCAGCAATTATTTATTAAAGAAACACATGGAAACACGAATAAAATACCTATATGTACAACGTGGCACGGTATGATTTCTAATAATAATACTCAATAATACACTTGCAGTTTCCCTCCATTAACATAGTATAGAACAATAAATACAAACCCTGGGTAATATGAGAACACCAAGAAAGTGGGGATATTTCCGTAGATAAAGCTGTACGCCCTGGAAGCTGTGAGCTTGGCCCCGGCTGGGGTTCAGCACTCACAAAGCCCCCGAACCTGGCTCTCCCGGGAGGTCCCTGGAGGTGGAGTGATATGCTTTGCTACACTGTGGGGACCGGAGAAGCCTGCCGTTCTTTCCGATTCCGTCACTGCAAGTCATCTCGAAGTCACTTTACCGACTGATGAACGGGAGGGGACGTCAGGGCTGATTCCCCGAGACTCTCTTCTCACTGCTGGAGCAGAGAAGCTGAAGATGAAGCCTAGAGCAAGACAACAAAAGTCAGAGTCCAAGGAAGCGGGGAAGAAACAGGTGAGGAGTGATCACAACATGGGGAAGACGCTGTGGACTACAGAAGTTTTCTCCGCATGCAGTGGAGTCACAAGAACACCTCACAGGCTCTGCCAACTCAGCGTGCTTCCTGGGGACCCAGCCCTCGCCCCCAGACCTGTCCCCACTGACCTCATGGGCTCAGGCTCTGCTCTCAGCTCCGGGACGCACCCCGATGCCGCTGGAGGCGGGGATCACTAGCGCCCCGTCCTTTCCCCCTTGTCTCTGCCCACAGCCCATCCATCATCCCTCTCTCTCCTTCTCCAGCCCTGGTCAGGCCTGGCTGTTTCCCGGGGGGAACATTTCCCTCTGAGTGCTCTGCCCCACTCTTCCCACCTCCTAAGACTTGTGCCTCAGATGTGCAGCAGTGTCTCCAGCAAGGCTCCTCAGCCCCTCGCTGTGCTGCACCCTCACTAAGGGGCTGCATCTCCAGACCTGTTCTGGGAGTGAGGATGAGCTACTAACTCTGCGGATGGCTGTCCCGCTTCCCGCTGCGTCCTCACCAAGGAGAAGAATGAACCTGCTACTTGGCCTCTCCTTCACAGCAGGGCCAGCCAGACCTCAGGTTAGGACTGGGATTTCTGTTTGTAGCCTAGACACTGCTCTCGGTGTTGGTCCAAAGACAGTGCAGGCTGAGGTGTCTTCTGTGTCCAGGTGGGAGGCGGCCAGGCCAAGCCAGCAGGGCCGAGGGGCTGGGCTGTGGATGGGATGTGCAGGCTCACCTGAGCCTGGGAAGAGGACGACTGGGTGAGCTGGGGACAGTGGTGGAGGTGTGTCCTTTCTCATGCATGGATGGTGGGAATGCTCCTTTGATAGGGGTGGCTGCTCTGTCTCCTGGCAAGGGGGACAGCTGGACGCCGGCTTCTGTGGCCTGGGGTGGCCACTGGATTCCATGACAAGTTTCTGAAGTCCACCAGAGCAGGAGTGGCTGACACAGGCTCCAGGACGTGCAGAGCAGTGTGAGTCTGGAGAGACTGTGGACCAGGCCCTTGCTCAAGCATGGGGCACACTTCCGGGTGGGGACGGGGCAGCCCTCAAAGTGGGTCAGTGACTTAGGGATGGCGTTCAGGAGCCAGGAGTCTGTGCTCCTTTCCAGCCCCAGCCACTCCTGAAATGTGTCCCGTTCCATGGTTCTGCCCCTCCCGGAGCCTGCTCGGCTCTCTGCTGAGCTACTTTTCTAGACCAGTGCTCCCCATACTCTCAGCAGCCAAGCACCAGGTGGGCTTTAAAGAATGCCTAACCGGCTGAAACGGATATTTTAAAATACATGATTACGCGAATTACATGCTGCAGGGTGATCAGCTTGTTCTGACAATTTTTAGGCTTTTCATCCTGTCCTGTATACACTGCTCAGTGTCATAACTCTTTATCTTTTGGACATGCTGTTTTTATGCCTACAGGATCTTTCCTTGCCTAGGCTATATTAAGAAAGATAATTCTGTATGTCTCAGTTTAAATACCATCTGTAGGAAACTTGCCATTAAACTTTTGGGGCCACATCTGTCCTTAGATATCATTATCTTATCATTTCCTGCATTTCACCAGCATGGTTTTCCTTCTGTGGGCTCCTCTCCAGTTCTCTGGGGACCTGTTTATTCAGATCATATATTGGCACCAATAAGAAAGCAAGGAAAAAAAAAAAAAAGAAAGCAAGGTACTTTGCCTCCTCTATACTTTTGCACATACATTCTAGCTTTAGTTGTTTTAAGTGATAGCAAATAATATTCTCAATTATTCCATCCTCTCCTCTCCTTATCCTGAGAACTAATCTCAGAAAGAGAACAGAACATGTTTTCCCCACCGATGAGCACTAACATGAATAGAAATACAAGTAATGCACACATTTCATACCTTTGATTCTAGTGGCCTTCAAAATTTTTCAGAAGGTATTTTCCATAAATGGCTATTTTGCAGGTGGTGCCAAATCTCCTGAGGAAGGAACCACTTTTTTTTTTTAGAGCCAAGACCAAAGAGGATTACACAGAGAAGGTGTAAGTTAAGATAACCCTTATCTTATTCTAAGAAAATGACAGTCCTGATATATTGCAATACAGCTGCAGTGAAATAGTGGTGTTTTCTGAAAACCCTGTCTACCTTCCTAGTGTTGATATAGAAGTGGCAGATTCTAGAGTGTGTTTGAATTAATGAGTCAGTATCAATCATGTCCACACAACTTTTTAAATGTTTTCTCTCTTATCTAATTTCTGAGCAGGACTTCATGTTCCTGGTAGATAATGCTTATGGAAGGCAAAGCTATACATTCTGGAATTCCTGTCTGCCCTGACAAATCACATTAAATAGAATTCTCTGCACAAAGTAGATGATCAATAAATGAAAGAGCAGGCATTAATTATATCTAGGGTCATATTTTGATTGAACCTAGATGGTTAAGTCTATGCCTGCTGCTGAATACAAAGATTCAAAGACTTTTCCACTTCTTTCCCTAAACCTTTTAGGTCTGATGAATACATTCCTGTTCATTCTGTATCTCTGCCTCAGTAACTGATTCCTAGCGCACAGCTTAGGAAGTAACTACTCACTAGTTATTCAATTCCCAGTACAGCAATAGAAATACATATTTTAAGAAGACAAATAGGCACTAGAATCGACAGATGTCAAACTTGTTTCCTCCCATTACATTCTGATCTTTACTCTTTAGAACGTGGTTATATAATTACAAAATTACACAGAGGAGAACAAACATTGTGTACCTCTGAAAATCAAAAGTCATGAAATCAGAGCCTAGGGATATTTTTTAAAGTACAAAAATGGAAATGAATGGGAGTTGGACAATTATTTCCTTTGCTGAACTTGTTTGGGTCAGCTCTATGCCTTGTCTCCCATATAACTTTTTCTTCTTTGCCTTTTCTTATCTTCCACAGCTGAAGAGATGACATTTGTCTTTCTCCAAGTTGGACAACTAGCATCTGCTCTTTGAGGATTTTGGTATTCAGAAGGTTTCTCTTTGCCAGACACTGGGGTGCAGAGGAACCAGAGCTGGTTTGCACACATTAGTTACAACCTGCCCAGCGCCCCTACTGGCTCCTGAAAGTGTTCAGTACAAAAAGGTGGCTGACTCCCAGGTTCCTCTCTTTCTAGTTCACCTTAAGTTTTGGTTGAAGAGGGATGACATTTGGATAGGATGTGTGCATCTGTCTTCTGGTACTCTGCAGGAAGCACGGTGGACACCATTTATTCAGCAAGCAACTGCCGAGTGTCTGTGACAGCCCCACATTAACAGCTCCATGGTAGGCATGGTGGTGGACACACAGTGACATTCTTCACCCAGGCCACTTTCCCGAGAGACCATCACTGTGGTCAGGCCAGTTTGGGGCATTTAAGTATTGACTGGTTCTTGGTCCTACTGTTTGTTCCAAAGGACAGAGTCTTCTGCTGGTTCTATGAAGCATCACACATTAAATGTAACAGTGCTTAACCAATGTATCTTAGAGTAACTAACATCAGAAGAAAATCTCCTGACTCAGTTCTAGGAAGGAAAAAGACAATTCTGTACTGAACAATTCCAGTGCAGGTTGAAACTAGCCTGAGCTCTTTCACTGAAGTAAAAAAAGCATTTTCCATCCCCTGGCTCCCGGTCAAGGAGTGAGATAACAAGCATCTGAACAAGCTTCTGAACAAGCTTCATATCCAAGCTTCTGAAAGACTCCCATTGATTACTGACTTGGAATTATTATAAAAAGATCGATTATTTCATCTCATTGATACCTGGAGGTTATAGAGCAGAAAGATGGCAATATGACCAGTAGGGTAGAAAAAGTCCCAAGTGAGGCTACATCTTGAGTCACCTTCTTCACGGTGTTTTGTGACAAGTTCATGGTTCCTGAACCCGGAGGGAAAGTATATCCTGGTGTGGTCCTATGGAAGAAGGCAGGGCTTTCTACCCAACTCCTCCAGGCTCTGCCCTGAGCCAGCCTGGGGCTGTGATGCACAGCCTTACTTTCTGGCTTGTGTACTGTATCCTTTTCTTTCAATAAACTGAAAATTCGCAAGCTTTGTCATTTGGGTCCTGCAAGTCATTGTTAGCTACAGGACCTTGTCTAACTGCCATCGTTGGTGTGTGTTTACTGACCCAGGCAGGCTGCACTTACAGGAAACGGAAAGCAATTTATGTCATCCCTTAGACAGGCAGGGCTAGTGGAAGAATTTTCTACAACCTCAAACATTCATTTCTCTGGCAACTGTTCACAGGGCGTGTTTTTTAGACAGACAATGATGATTTCACTGACACAAACCATTAACTTCTCGGGTTTTAAAAGTCATTAAAATAATCCAAGGTGCAGCCAGCTAAGAAAACAGGAACGAGCAAGGATTCAGGAGTGGAATGGGGACACTTACATACTCATTGCCCGGTGTAGGCGGATTCTTCTCAGTTCTTGGTCTTTCCTGCCACACAGTGCTCACCTAAGGACAGAGAGAGGCTTCGGTCTAGGTGCCCCGAGAGTGGCTCTTGATTTATTTTTTGTTTGACTGGCTCACAGTCTGGAAATTAGTCACCCAGATGCATGAGCTTTTTCTGGCCAGCACCCACCTCACCCTACAGGAGCCCTGCTAAGTTGGCCCCAGGAAGTGGCAGGCAGGGACTGGGTGACACCAAGGCAGCACAGATGCCCCTAGGCACAGGTCACTGACTTTTGCTTGGTGCATGAGTTGGCTCCACCTAAGCAAACCTGTGTCGTATGTGCAAAGTGAGACTGAAGTCAGGGATATATTCGAGGCCCCTTCTGTTCAGGACATCAGTGACAGCCATGGGAAAGTGAGCTTACAAACCAACTCAGACACTTCCGGGACCACAGGGCAGCATGAACTGCAGCAACGCTCAGTCACCTGACACAAAGATGAATCCAGTAGCCTAGGTGAGGGAAACCGCAAGGCCCCATCCCTGTCTCTGTGCCGCTGAGCGCATGACCAGTACATTTCACAGGATCTGTGTCCTTCGGGGGGGACCGGGCCTCAGGGTCAGTCCTGTCCTATATCAGTTCAGAGATCTTGCTTTTGGAATCCAGCTCATCGTGAACTCCAGCTTTTATCTGCTCTTGGCTGGAAACTCTGTCTTCCTTCGACTCTATGGATGTCACTGGTCATGTGCATGGTCACAGCCAGTGCCACAGACCTCTGAGGACAAGCAGGGACACCTCATTTTGTCCTTCTGAGGCCTTCTTGGGCTCTGAGAAATGCTGAACACAGCCTGACAATTCTCTCAGGCCTGCCACATCACAGCGTCTGTTCACTGTTGTTGATTTGTGGCAGGCAAAGAGCTGCCTGGGACCCCCAGCCTGAAGTCCTGGCAGAGGAATAAACAGAATGAGCTTCTACTCCCCCCAGATATCTGTCTGGAATCATGTAGAGCAAGTCATGGGAATACTGCAGTTCCTAATACCTCCCTCAAGTTCTCTCTAACCAGGCATGGATAAGCTGAGAAAGATGCTGTAGCAAGATGGGTTCAACAGTGGTGATAATGATGATTTCTCCTGCAAGAGCAGGTGAAACACATGCAATCTGGGGAAAAAGACCGAAAGGAAATGTGCCAAAAATCAACAGTGGTTGTGTCTAGGCTGTGTTGCATGGATAATTTAAAATTCTTTTGTTTTCTCTGTTTTTTTTCTATTTTCCATTGTGCATAATGTGTTCAACTATTAAAATAGTAGTTTAAGCCATAGGGAAATAGTGCTTCTCAGTAATGCAAATTAATTTGCCAAATGAAGACTAAGCTAAGAGAAGAGGAGACCAGTGACAGCTCAGGTGGCAAGGGGGCCTCTGTGCAAAGGCAGCCTGAGCCACCCCAGAAAGGTTGAGAGGCGGAAGGTGTCTCTGTGGACGGCTTTGTAAGTCTGCAAGTAATTTGCTCATTCTCACTTTTGTTCATTTCTTTTCAATAAGCTTTCCTTTCTAAAATAAATATGCAGAAAAGTTAATAAGTGACTGTGCATCTGCTGAGTAATTACCCTAATACACAAACCAGTGTGCTAGTGACACCTAAAAGTGGGAGATCCCCTCGATGATTGGTGGTGGCAGCTTAAGTGTGAGGGCACAGAGTGAGGGATTGTCCCTTCCTCCCTCACTGGGCCAGGGTCCATGGGGACGACAGTGAGGGGAGGGAGGGTGAAGGCTGGGAATCTGCCATAGGGAATGGTTCTGCACGGAGCTGGAGGAGCGGACATGGCATGGAAGGCTGCACAGATACACTGAAGGTTGACTTAATTGACTTAATCCCAGTGACAGGAATTCATCACAGGTCTCTAAGCAGAAGGATGGGATGACGAATTCAGATCTGCATGCTTTCATTCCAGTGTTTCAAAATCAAGCAATTTTTGAGACTTAGTTCAATAGTAGAGTGTTCTCTTTCTTTTTCGTATAATCATGTATTTTCTATTTTAAGCAATTTTCTTCATAACTTTTCTAGCCTTCCATATTAAAAGTGAAATAATGTACATGCACTTTCTGGTATGGAGGGTGAGGACCACATTTAAAAATGTGTCATGTCACTCATATATTCTGCAGTCAACCAAGGTGACATTAGCTTGGCAAGATATCTCACTAAAGCCGGATGGCATCATCCACGCTTCCCGAAGGACTCCCTTGAGCTGCCACAATTGACACACACATCCCTATGAAAGCATGTTCTTATGACATGCTCATGTGCTTACTCTTCTAGAGAAGAGGCTTGTGACATCTCTGGGCTTCATCTGTGGCATCTGAAGCAGGCAGGGAGTGTAGTGGAGGGGCAGTACGACCTCAGTGGAGGGGGGAGGACTTGGGCTCAAGGGACTGACCTCCCAGGAGAGATGACTAAGTCTGACCTTGGCTCCCAAGGGCTCTTAGAAACCCAGACAATTTAGCATCCACTGTCATTCCCAGACCGGGCTGCTACAGAGGTCTGTTTCCTCGGAAACATTGTTTATTGGCTGCTTCAATGACACAATTCATTTGCAGACAAAAGTCCAGAGTTTCTACATTGAATAATGACTGTGCCAGAGAATTGTGACTGCCGGGAAGCTCAGACATCTTGGGGCTACTGATTTACACACATTCATTGACACTATTTTTCTTAGACTTTGAGGCAAACAAGATAAATTGTAACACTCATTGATTCTGATTGGTCAGATATTTGTTCTGGGAAATTGTTTTTTGCATTTAAAAAAATTTAAAGATATTTATGTAGGTGATAGTAGAAAAATTGGACTAAACCTGTGAACTTATGTAAAACCTAATTCTCTGTTTTGTTCTAGTTATATTTTAGGGGAAATGTCAGTATTGGTCCTGAGATATTGGTCCTGAATAAAAATAATCTTAACAATGTAGCATCTGTTAAGTGAACATAGTTTTATAGGCAAAATGAATTTGAATAAATTTTGAAAGGCAGTGGGAAGAGATTGGTTTGAGAATGTTAAGGGGCTATGGAGTCTTGTTAACAGTCGGCTTTAGTAAGTATTATGGTGGTCCAGGGACTGGGTGGTTATTGTTATGCTTGAGGTTATTAATCCTAGGTGATTGAAATCTGCTCTGAATCTTTGTTTTCAGCTTTTCCATATCACCACGTAGTTTTCATGGTAATCACCTTGCAGAGGTTATTTGAACTTGGCAGAAACAAAAGTACCAGAGAATCTACCTTACTGAGTCTGCAAAGTTCCTCTCTACACCTGTGACGAGGAGCTTGGAGGGCTGAGGCTCTGTGAAGATCCCCACTGGTCCACTCCACACAGCCAGTGGGAGGTCGCCTGTCCTTACTGAAGAGTCCACTGTGCATTTTGCAACCAAAATCATTTGAGGTTCTGTGAGGCTTTGCCTGGAGGAAGCCATAATCCCAGTGTCCCGTGTAACTTCCCCAGAGTGGTGTGTGGAAGACAGGAGGTGGCCCTTTGGCAGCCCCTTCTCAGCAGAATCCTTACAGGGACCCACAGGGGGCCAGGAGCTTAGGCCTGCAGGTGACAGGCAGGTTCTTCATGAGGACTGAGCCTGGTTCCTCCAGAGCTGGCCAAGGTCGGCCACTGTGGGCTGCTGGGCTGCTCCCTGACCCTCTCCTTACCCAGGAGGAGAGGTGGCCACTTGGTCAGGAAGGTGAGGGCCCGGGAAGCCTGGCTCTAAGGGTTTCACCTGCGTGCCAGCCAGCATGGCTGCCTGCGTTGAGCTCTCCCACAAAAAACAGCTCCAGGCTGCATGGGAGGCTCTGGCCTGCTGTCCAGACTGAGCACCTGCCCACCCAGCCAGGGACATTAGGCCACGGCCCTGGATATCTTGCTCATGATCTTGGATGATACTTACAGCTTTTTGTCGTACATAATTTTTTTTAACTATAAAAAATATTTATAATGCAGCTTGTCATTTTATAGCTCTCACTTTATATAGCCCTTTGGGGGACTAGTGTGTGTAAGATAAATTTGGCTGGACTGAATGTTGTAAATGTATGAATGCAACTGGATATTAGACTTAGAGCTACCTGGATTATTTTGTAAAATTTATAATTGCTTTAAATTTATTTCTTTTGTGATATCAATGTTGTGATAACAAAAAAAAATCTGCACTTTTTTATTTTTAAAACCTCTTTAGTACCTTTTTTCATTGTTCTTGATACAAATATAACTCATACTAATCGTATGTGTGCTTTGAAAGGCTTTTATATTTCAAAAAAACAACTATAATGAATAAATTAGGAAAAATGCAGAGTTTAGCAATGGGAGATTGTGATTATCTTTATTGAGAAGCTCAATTAAGATTGTATGAAATGATATGGAACATGTCTTACACTTTAATGGATTAATAATATGATGTAATAAATATTGCTGGTTTGAGTTGACTGTATACAGCCATTACCAAAATTGAAACGAAACAACAGTGATACTAGGAAGTCTATCAACAAATTTAACATTCTTTTAGCTACCCCTGCAGAGCAGGAAATGTGTCCAGCACCACCTGTTCCTTATAACCCATCCATAACTCAGTGAAAAGCAATCTCAAAAGGCTAGACAGCCTAATGGCCTTATAAAATGATATTTCTAGGGTTCCTCTTTCCTCCATACAAAACATTTCTCCTCTCTGAAAGTTACTAATTGACTACTTCTAAAGAAGTTATGCTTTTTGGTTTTATTTCATGGAACAAATCCAAGGTTATAGGTAGATTTTAAAATAACCATTTTCCACCTAAACAACTGTCTGGGAACTTACCAGACTCATGAGAAATTGTCTTGACAGTGAGCAGCTTCACACTCTCTTTGTCCGACTGCGGTCTGTTTGAAATGGAAAATACCATTAACACATAGCATTAGCAGGGGGTGTCTGTGGAAGAGAGTAAACGCGACACTAAAGAGGGAAGGAAGGCATGGGCCTTGATATATGCTGTATGTCTATCTCCAAGGCTACACCTGCGTTTCTTCACATGCAAACTCACATGCACTGTTTAGCACTTCCAGGTCTGGAATTGGAGCCCTAAAGCCTCTCACTCCATTGCAGTGGTGCCCAGCCTAACTCCTGCATCAGCATGGCAGTGGGGATGCTGTCACAGGGCCACCTCGAACTTGTCTCCAGCTCTGAATTATGAGAGGGAGAAATATAAATGTTCCCAAGCCGATGGGGTTGGGCTGGGCTCTGGGGCTGTTCCTGTCCACTTGTCCTGGACACTGCAGAGTTCCAATGCCCAGCCAGTTTCCAGCCCTCGTGCCCTCCCTGGGACATCTCAAGGGGTTTCATTTCTAATTCAGAGTGGCAGGTGCTTGAAGGTTGTTATTTCCAATGTTCACAACCTGATAAGATACAAAACCACTTATATAAATGCAGGCCACAAATGCAGGCCAATGGAAAATTTAACCACAGTGCTTGTTTTTGACGTGAAAACAGTGATTGTTTGCTCTTCACGGCACTTAGTGGTAACAGTTGCCAGGATTGCTCACAGCTCCTTGTCTGCTTTTGTAAAGTCCAAGTAGAAACCATCTGCCATTCAGGTAGAGCCCCTCAGAGCCAGCTCATGGACAGGCAGGACTTCTCCTAACTGATAAACACGCTGAAAATGTCACTAGGAAAACTATTTTAAAACTCTGGGCGTGTGTTCCATGGTAGTTTCTTTCTTAGTTAGTTTATATTCCATTTCAATTTCCCCTGTCATCTCACTACTCTATCCACACATAAGAGCAGTCTTCTTAGCTATTGGAATTTCTCTGTTCAATAGCGAGAGCTCTTAGAAACAGCCAACCCCCTGACAAATAGCTTTTTATACCTTTTTTCTTCCTTCCTTTTCTTTTTTTCCTTCTTTCCCTGCCCCTTCTCTCTCTCCTTTCTTTCTTTCTCTCTCTCTCTCTCTCTTTTTTTTTTTGGTACCGCAGATCAAACTCAGGACCTTGAATGCCAGGAAGGTGGCAGAACCACTGAGTGACACCCCGGGTCCTCTCCTTTCTTTCTTTCAAAAATAGCACAAAGGATAAGTATTCACCAGAATTAAACATTTTCTGTATGTAAACAGTAAGGTCAGAGCGTCTAGGAAGAAAGAAATGCCTTACTTACTGATCGCTTCCGTTTTCCGGTGTGCCTAGGAGAGGAGATGGTGGTTATGAAAATTGCAAGGAACTTGGGCACCAGAAACCTGGCCCACCTCTCTCTGCCGAAACTCTTCCTACAGCAGTTTTAGTTTTCTTATTCTCCCACAGGAATTCTGTTTTCCTTTATACATTGCTCTTTCTCAGCACACAAATAACTATTTGTGGTGAGGGGTGAATGTGATGTAGGTATTATTTCTAATTTCATATTAAGACCACCGATTCAGCCTCTCAAAAGCATCTTGCAAAATATCACTGAGGTTATGAGGTGTGATAAAGATAGGTAAATGACTAAACTGAAAAAAATTATTGCAGGAAAAAACATATTGTCTTTAATCCAACTGAAAATCCTTCCTCTCTCTTGGAACACACTTATCCTATCTCTTGCCACCTTCTGAAGCAGTTCTGGAAGTCCTCTTAATTATGCTGTCCTGGCTGCCTTAGTGTTCTGAATCAATTCAAAATATTTACCTTTCATGGCCATTTTTTACACTGGGGCAGAGGCAGAAGTTGCTCTGTGCCAGATCCCATGAATGTGGTGGATGAGGATGTGCTGTAGTATGTTTACAAACCTGCCTTTCCATTAGATGGAACTAGGAGCAGCATTCACTGCATTTTTGATTGCACCTCATAAAGACACTTATGAAAAAGGACTTCCAGAACTGCTTCAGAAAGTGGCAAAAACAATGGGATACATGTGCTTGAAGCAAGGGGAAGTATTTTAAAGGGGATTCATGGTGATGTGTCTTTTTCTACAATAATTTTTAAAATGTAAGCATTCTCCATATATTTTGATTGTACTGTGTTCTAACTGAAACTTCTCGTTTGTACTCTCTGCCAGGCTGCCTTGCAAGTGTCTGGGAGGAAATCCCTTGGGTCCAGAGTGAGGACCCAGAGTGGAATGGCTCAGTCTGTACACAATATGGCCCCTCTGGAGTGGGTGTTGATGGTCAAGCTCTACTTTGGGTACCTGATGAGCATGATAGATGAACATGTCCCTTGTGAGGCTCCTGAGAGCATCCATTCCACTCAACTCCAATCTCTTGGGTCATATTAGGTCTTGTCACTGGGATAGGCCCTTTGAATGTAACTGTCCTGGCTTTGACCATTCTTGACACTTACTTCCACTAACATTTTGGCTGCATCTATTTTTGTTGCTTTGGTTGAGACACCCAATCATGACTCTTAATCCTGAGGAGTTAATCCATGGCACCGTATGCTGCTCCAGTGGGGTCTAGCCTTGTCTTCTCTTCTTTAAAAAATTTCTGTATTTGTCAAATACAGTTCCACTCATGAGCCTCATGAGCCTGTTTCAGGACGAGTTGGAAGGTTTGCATGCCCATTCTAATGTCTTCCCTCAGGGCCCTGCAGTGATGGTCCTTAGCAGACTGTCGATGTCAACAGATGACTAGCAGCAACGGCACTGTGCTTGCTTGGGTTAAAGTTCAGCCTACCATCACTGTTATCCACATAAATTTAATTTCAAACTGAAATCTCTGAGTCACGTTACCTTCCCGAGATCAGAGTGGGCTTACTAATTTTCTGAACTTAATGGAGTCTCACCCACATACTTGAAGAGTGATTAACCGTGGGTGTTTAATGGCGCTGTTTTAATGATATCAATGCTATAAATTCAGTTTGGAAAACAAAATAAACAGTAACCAAATAGATTTGGCTAATTATATAATTTCCAAACTTAGTCTTAAAGCACTATACGTCTTAAGAATGACTCTCCATGGTGGTAGGAATTCCATATACCCATCGAGTCCTCTTTAAAAGAAAATGTCAACTTTTCAAACAATTCATTTTAAAATTTTCTTTTGCAAAGCAATTTTTCAAGTCAGGTTATTTTTACAAAAGGATTCAACATATTAATTTTTTATCTAACCTATATACTCAACACCCACAATTCCGATTTGGATGGCTGATTTCCCATTTAAAAAAAAAAAGATTTGTGGTTTAAAATTAAAAAGAAATTAATGGGATTTATAAAAATGCGATTTCCTCTTTGAAACTGGGTAAGAAAACACATTTTAGACATTATGAAGAAGTCTACTCTCTCACTCCTACAGGAAAAGACAATTATTTGTTTTCCTGTTTTCTCCCTGGAGCTAAATGAACGGTGCTGCTTGGTCTCTGACCTCTACTGATCAGGCACTAAAGTCCTGTGAGACCCCACCCTGCCGGCCCGGTGGTGGTCAGTAGTGTCCCGGGGGCCCACTGTCCACAGAGTGACAGAAGCAGAGAGCAGCTGAGGTGTCTTGTTAAAACACATGTGTTTTTACCTTTATGCGATTTAGGTTGACTTTAGCTAGTGAAAATGTTTAGAATCAAAGTGAGGAAAGAGAAGATGGCACTCGGGCATAGAGCAAGGGCCTGGTAGATGTTAGGCACAGTACAGTGTTAGTAACGTGGGTTAAGACTGGGAGGGATTATGTAAGGGAGCTCTACATAAAGAAGTAACTATACTATAATATTTTGTGAATTATATCTTCTTTTATTTCAGTACTGAGAATTGAATCCAGGGCCTTAGCACTGGGCTACATCTCCAGATCACTAAAAAACAGGGACTTGATAAGTCATTAAGTTGTAGGAGGGGCTTGAACTTTCCATCCTCCTGCCTCAGCCTCCTAGGGGGCTGGGATTATAGGCCTGCACCATCATCAGATTTTGTAGGATTAAAATTGAAGGGACCATCCCTTCTGCTTGAAGAAGTGGTATGTTATAAAAAGGTACTGTACCCTCCCTTCAACCCCTCCACTCTCCCTATTTACAAAGGCTTTGTTTCTGTTTTCTTCCTATTTCACATTATGTATTATACACTTTGATCCTTATTTACACTTTCAGTTTCCACACACCAGAGAAACTATTCAGTACTTACACATGTGTGAGGGCAAGGGAATGGGGAAAAATAAGAGCTAAGATATATCATGTAAAGGTACAAGATCCCAATGATGACTGTCATCATATTGTATACCTAAAATGTACCAATAAACTTAATAAATAAAAAGGTACTGTAAATCGGTAGATGAGCTGGAACAGATACGGCAAGGTCGGGGTAAGCTGTAGAAGGTAAGGGCAGGGCTGGACATTCCAGGAAAGGGATTGTGTAGATGCAGGCATGGACCAGGACACGACATGGTGCCACCAGGGCAGGCCTGGCATGGGAAGGCACCCTGGGCCCCAGGTAGCACAGACCCCCTTCTGTGGCAGAGGGGCCAGGGGCTGAGCTGAGGGGCTGAGGGGATTCAGGACAAAGCCTGAGCAAAATGGTGCCACAGTCCTCGAAATAGAAAAAAGGATGGAATAAAGACAGAAAGAGACAGGAAAGCAGTCGAGAGTTTAGTTGATAAAAATGTATGGATATTGGCTCATTAATTGTGACAAATACACTATAGTAATATAATATAAGAAGAGGGGAAGTTAGGTATGGTAGATAAAGGCACTCCTTGTTTTTGCAAATTACCCATAGTTTAGATCTATTCTAAATCTAAAGAATATTCTAAATCTAAAGAGTCTGTTTTAAAGAGAAAGTTTACTTAAATAGAGAAAAAATAAAACCCAATCATGGAAGATGCCTTCATTGGAAGGAAGCTGAGTCTTCAAGGAGGGAAGTTGAGGCACAGAGTGGCTCTGAGACCCTGGTTCTTGAGCTGAGTTATTAGTAAGCCCTCCTTCTGTACTGCTATGTGGAAATGGAATAAAAAACCTTCCTGATAGAACAGGCATGCCATTCAATTCCCTCTTGTCTACCATATTCCCTTGAGCACCCACAAAAGGGGCTGTTTCATTAATAAGAATTCCCTCATACTTAATACCTTCCAATAGTAGTTACATTCACCAGCATTCACTGGGTTTCTCTGCCTTCTCCTTCTATCTTTTGTAATCTATTATATGGCATTTTATTTCTCTCTATATAACCACTCTCTCCCTTGAAGTGTTTAAGGTCAAGTTCGGACTGAGCAAATATTCATTCTCCTTTTAGGAAAACAAAACAAAATAAAGTGCTGTCACCTACCTGGGTCATTCTTCCAGCACATTCGATACAAACCCACCAGAACAAACACTGATAGAGTTATGACAATCAAAACGATGACCACTGGCAAAATGACACCTAGAAAGTATGCAGACATTGGCAGTTAAAGTGGTGGCTGGAGTTCATGTGGACAGGTTACATAAAAAGCAAAAGCATGCTTGCTTTCTTCTTTCAATCTGATTCTAATTATTAAATTTCAGGCCAACCAGGTTGATCAGACTCATAGGTTTTGCTCTTGTGTCATTTCTGAGGCATCCACTTGATGTCAGTCTTGCAGCCTTTCTGAAACAACTTCCACCCTAAGAGCCATCACTCCCATCTTCCTGAGCCTCAGGAGGAGGAGATGAGAGGCTGATGGGAGGCTGGAGAGGTAAGGACACCAGCAGATGACAGTTAAGCCACGTCTGCACCTGGTGGTCCTTAAGATTTCAAATGAAGCTACTGGAAAAGAATCATTGCCACTGGCGACTGCTCTAGTCCTAACGCTGGTTTTCCAAAACACACCCAAATATCTTTCCTATAATACTACTTTAAAACTAGAAAAGGCATACCATGACCTAAGCAGATAAAATTCCTGCAGACTGAACAACACAGTTCAAGAGGTGTGGGTGTGTGTGTGTGTGTGTGTGTGTGTGTGTGTGTATGTGTGTGTGTGTTCGGGGGAGTGGTGTTGCTGTCATTAACTTAGGGTGAGGTTTTTTTTCCTGTTTTTATTAAGAGGAGGATTTTTATTTCTTTAAACAAATTTGCCTTCTTCTCTGCCAGTCATTTCCCAGCTTGACTGTGTCTGAAGACAGCAGAAAGGCTGTAAAGGGGACAGAACGGAGGGACTGGAGAGCAGGCCATGTTTGGTTAGTGTCCCCTCTGCTTGTACATCTGCTTCTATGCTCACCAAGGGCAAAACGGGGTCTCCAGTCATGGTAGGTGGTCTGCACCTCCAAGGTCAGGGTCAGACATTTGTCTTAAGTGCACATGCTGATTTGACAACAGGCCTTGGCTGAGGTTGTGACTCCCTCCAGGTGGGGACCCTGAACCAGCAGGCCAGGAATTCCTGTGCTAACTTACTTAATGACATGGCTTTGCTCAAATCCAAGAGAAATATTCATCCTATTCTCAATTGCTAAGCAAACTGACTGTTCCATACTCCTCTTAGCATATGTGTGTGTGTCATGTGACGCATACCTACTTTAGCTGAAATGGAATGTTTCTTAAAGTCCATTGTTAGGAGAAAGTTGTCAAGGTGAAATGTGCCATTTTTTGGTGTAATTTATTTATTGAAGGGATTTAACTGGCAAATGAATATGGGATCTCTACAGAGCATGCAGCACGGTGGTTTGGCGCAGTTCATTTGTAGAAGGACCCCACTCTGCACACTTTGGTTTTTCTGAAACCAGTGCTGTTGATCATCCCTGGCCCTTGGTGGTAATTGCTTAGCACAAATGTGAGAGAAAAAATTGAAAATCAGATTCACAGGAAATTCTCCAAGCAGGCAGCTGTTGCGTAGGCTTAGAATGGAATTGCAGGCTCAGTGAACTCGGGATAAGGCCTTCTCCGAGCCTTCCCTTTATTGCCATGACCCTCTCTCTACTCTAATCCCTTTCTCTATTCACTGCACAAATGGAGATGGGCTTGTTACTCACTGGAATAAGAAGGGCTGGTTGATAAAGAACTTGTATTTTTTCCATCTTTGATGCCTAGTATTTTTAAAAAGAAACAAACAAGTCAGCTTTGTTTATTACGAGCCTCCCTCTACCCCCATAGAAGGAAATGTCTGTGACCTGTAGGTTTGATGCTTCCAGTGCAAACATTATTCTGAAAGAGGCCTGCTTTGAAAGTGGAGCTGGGTGGGGTTTCCTGGATGAGGACACTCTGTAGTGCAAGCCTCCTCTCAGACACACAACTGTACCTTGAGACTGTGAGGTGTTCCTTGAGGTTGTTAGTGTTGAGAGTGATGCAGTAACTTCAGAAGGTGATGGACTTGGTTGTTGGGTGCTGACTGTAGAGAAACCACAAATCCAGGGTCAGACTTTGAGATTAAATCTTGAAGCTGGATTATTTGTTTGCACATTCAAGAAGTTTGCATTTCTGAAGAGCCAGGAAAACTATTCATTATTGAGTTATAGGATACATATAATGGTGGCAGTAAACCCTAAGTGCATCTATTCCTCCTGGAAAAATAGTTAAACTGGAAATCACATGACTTAGGTATCAGCTTTTCATTTTCAAAACCTGGCCAAGAAAACCCATGTGAGTCTCTTCTCTTTGGGTTGATCCAGGATAGCCTGCTGCACGAGATTCTTGTGAGATGCAAATGTACGCAAAAAAGCCACTGAAATGTCACATGTTACAACTTTGGGAGACCGGGATTTTCTCCCTCACACATACTTAGAATGGGCATGAATGCACAAGACTTGGGATTTTATAGTGTTTTCCACAGGTGAAGAGCAAAGATTCCATTGAGGGTTTTGTTAGAATGGTGGAGGGCAAATGCAAGAAGACTACTTCATTTCATCCCTGCAGCTCGGCAGCTGTTTCCACGGTGTGCCTCCTCTAGAATAACTGCCACAGGGCTTTATTTCCACAATTGTCCATACTCTTTTTTTTGTTATTAAAATTTTATTGACAGTATTAGTTATTGAACAATTGCTATCTTCAACCAGAAGCAGTAAGTAGAAATTACGAATAAAGGTTTATTGTTCAAAATCCACACAGCTCAGTAAGTTTAAAGGAAATACAAGTAATTTAGTGTTTTGCAAGCGGATAGCACCTCGTCTTGTGAATTGGGAATAAAATGTAATTTGTATTTAGAAATTATTTGTGGGTAGTATGAAGCGCTCGATTGTATCACACCTACTCACATCATTGAGAGCAGACCCATCACTGAGGCCCCTCAGAGCCTGGCCACAGCCAGTGTGCAGGACCGGGGAGCCACCTGCTCGGTGGAGCCAAGAGTCACTGCCTCTCAGGAGTTTAAAGGCCCAGTTTAATCGCACCAAAGAAATTGTTATTTCCAAGACTGCCTAGGCTCCTGCGTTGCTCGCCACCCACAGCCCAACATGCTCCTCCACAAGCTCGTGCATTTCTGACATCTGTGGGGGAAGAATAATGTTTAGAGTCTGTACCATTCTCGCCATGTGAGAGCTCTGTGGGAGGAAGCTAGATATATGCCCATAAGAACAAAGGAAAATGTCAGGCTAGCCCACTAAGCAAGCAGAGAAAGGAATACGAACTGGAAGAGTGGGAATGAGCTGAAACCTTGGCACTTGTAGTTACTTTTCCCAGTGTCAAGCTCTTTAGGATGGATGTGTACGCCCTCGGTTATTCTAGTAGGGGATGGAGTGGCTGACTAAATAACCAGTGGACTCAATTTTCAGGATTCCATCTGCTCCTTTCTCCTTGGCAGCCCCAGGACTGAGCACAACCTCTCTGGCTCAGGTAAAATTCCACCCTGCCCCCTCGTGACAGGCAGACTGTCCCAGCCAGCAGTTACTGCTAATGACCCATAGACAGGCAGCAGAATCCACCCTTCCCAGTGCAATGAGTTACTCACTGCTGGGACAGAAACTTTCAATGCTTTGTTTTGTTTTTCTTTTAACTACAGCCCTCAGTTAACAAATCATTTCTGAATTCAACATGGGCACGCACACACACACACACACACACACACACTTACCTTCATTATGTGTAATACCATCTGCCATTTCCTGTTCATTTACTTTCATTTTAAAAATATTGATCATGGCTTCTATTAGTTACCCACAATTTGAGAACCCATGTCTTTTTACATGATTTTATTGTTGAAACTATGGTGCTTGGCTTACTTCATAGAGTGTGAACCTGAAGTTATTCATTTTGTGACTGTGATGGAAGGATGATTCTTGTGGGTTTGGTTGAGACTGTCATCCTACATCACAATGGCATTGTCAAGGGAGGAACAGGTGAACTTCGGAGTTCGGAGCAAGACCCTGAAGACAGAGTGCTTGGCCTCAGAGCTGACTCTGGAGCTTACTTTCTACAGAAGCTCGGGCAAGTTGCAGCTTTGTGCCTAATTTCCCACATATATAGATGGGATTATAGCAGTTCCACATCACATTGCTGTAAATATTGACTGAATATGAAGAAGTTTAAACTACCTAGAAGAATGACTGACAATAAATGTATATATTATATAATATTATATTTTACTATATATCATATAATGATTATGACCCAAGGAAGTTGAATCTTTCACCCAAAGTCAGTTTGTCTAACTTTTTTCAAAAATTCTAAGGGTAAAAATACATGCAATAGATTCTTCAGACTCTTCCATGTTGGCAGATGCTTCTTTCTCTAGTCAGGAGGTGGAGAGATTGGACTACATGGTGATCTTAGATGACTAGGCTTGGACTGGGACACTGCCTTGGTGATTATGATGATTAGTGAATCACTGGTGTATCATGCCACCATTAAAGTCCAGTTTGCAAAAGTCAGGTCACAACTCGAAGGAAAGGGTTTGCGGCAGAGTCTGTTAGGGCCAAGTGTGTGTAAACTGACCCCTGATTTCTGACCGTGTACATCACTGGCCTTGAGTGTAAACCAGTGAGTTGATAAATCATTGAATACATTAAGGCTGAGAATGTTTACTGGTGTCCTGGGGACACCTGCACTTGAGAATTTGCCCCGACTGTGCTCTGACTACAGAAGGGCAAGGGACCAAGGTTCCCAGTGCCCTCTGTGATCCATCCCAACATGTGCTCGTGCTATGCTTTCAAGGACACTCCAAGGACACTCTGGGCCAGAAGGGCACCTGGAGAGATGCCCTGCTGAGAGTGCATGGTGACCTAGGGTGCTGCCACCTCCCTTTCCTCTCTCCTGTCCCTTCATTGCACTAGGGTCACTTTGCTGGCAGGTCCTGCCTCTCCTGGCCCCTTCGCCATGCTCTGTCCCAGGTGTTTTCTCTAATAACATCCTGAACATTTAACTGCTCCTCTGAAGATTCTGACTGAAGCGGCCTCCATTAGTATCCACTGGGAAGATCACTTCCTCTGATGGGCGGAAATAGAAACTTGGGAGCTTTAACCAGAAGACGTGGCCACTGTTTGTCTTTGGACACATTTTCTTTCCCCTTCTTTGGAGAATTTCACCCTTCCTATGGGGAAACCTGTGTTGTCACATGAGGTGCTCCTTATTCCAACTGCAGGCACTGTGTGACCAAGGCCCTCTCCTAACAGTCTGCATGAAGAGTTCTGAGCTTTTCCCAGAGTGAAGTTCTGAGCAGACTAACTATGGGATTTAATTAGCCAGGGCCAAGTTTTATTGTTTGCAACCAAATAATTGGAATATTTAATGTATCATTTAATTCTTTTCGTTAACTGGAATAAGGGTTCACATCTCTTGGATCCCTAACACCTGGATCCCCCTTCAGGCGCTGTTCTAATGCTTATCCCACTGTCAACAAACACACAGGTTTCCCTATCAGTTCACTGGTAAAATCATTGGCCACCTGCACAGTATGACTTCAAATATGGGCAAGCTTTCCCATGCCTATAAAATGCCCCTGAAATATCCAGGTCTGCAGTCTCATTCCAGTGTGGCACAAAGTCTTACCACTAGATTTGGACTACACCATAAACTGGTGACACTTTTTCTAAGAAAACCTTTATGAAAGTTCTCTACACAGCCATTCCAAAACATTATTGATTTTACTTGGAGCCCTCAGTTAATAAATCATTTCTGAATTCAACACAGACACATTTACCTTGACTATGTGTAATATCATCTGCTGTTGCCTGCTCTTTTTTTTTTTCCTTTAAAAAATACTGGTCATGGCTTCTATCAGTTACCCACAGTTTGAGAAGCTGTGTCTTTTTATATGGCTATATTGTTGAAACTATGGTGCTTGGCTTATTTTACAAATTGTGAGCCTACAGTTACTCATTCTGTGACTATGATGGAGGGGCTCATGTTGTGGTCCGATGATCAGGATGTGTTTGGTCCATCAGGATGTGTCCAATATATATTCTAGTTATTTTTAGAAAATGAAATTGTGACTCCAAGAAGGATTTCATGTTAACCCACCACTAACGTATAAACCCACAAGCCTGGCTGAGTTAGTCATATCAGATAATTAGGGTTTGCAAATTAGAAAAAAGGAATTAAGAGGGGTGTATGAGATCCACAGTTATCAGTGGGAGCTAAGTGGAGGAGATGTGCAGAAATACAAGTGTGTTTCAGTTTATTTCCCTTATGTTGCCTGTACTTCTTTCCAAATACATGCCGTGTGGCTTTAAAAGAGCACACTCTATTGGGTTTCCTGTAGCTGATTTCCTCAGCTCCTTGGTTGATTCCTTGAAGTCCGCCCGAATTACAGCCTTGAAGTGCCCCAGCACTCAGCCTTGCTCCTAAGCTCCAACTACATTCATTACGTACTTGGCGATCTCATTCGCTCTCGGGGTGGAAACAGTACCACTGCTCATGATCTTCCACTTTATTCCTCTAGCCCAGACCTCTTTCCTCAACTTCAGATTCAAAAGTCCAGATGCCTCCTGAGCAAACAATAAACACTTTAAATGCCACTAGAATTTCTTTATCTGCTGCCTCCCTATTCCTCTTGAGGACAACAATTAATTCCTTCCTAGGGATCAGGCCAAAGCTGGATTTGGATTTGCCTCTTTCTGTCATCTCTTATCTGTGGTCATCAGGAGCACCCAGTGGCTCTACCCCCAAATACGTCCAGAATTTGGAGATTTCATGCCACCCAGCATGCCCTCTCCCTCATCCAAGCTACCAACATGTGGCTGCTGGATAACCTGCAAACGATACTCCTGCTTCACAGACACGTCCTCCTCCATGCTCTGAGTTACACTTAGGAAGGAGGAGTCAGGTCATGGAACCCTTGGGCTCAAAACCCCAGTGGCTTCTGATTAAAGCACACTGTGGTGCTCATTAGAGAAGTGTACTCACTTGGCAATATCACTGAAATACTTTGGTTTCTAAAGGGAGTTTTTAGGATCTTGCACTGTGGACTAGAGTGGTACAAGAACAGGGCAGAAGTGTATTTAACCAAAGTGTATTTAACCAAAGCAAAAGAAAAAACTAAAACTCTTCCTTCTCGGAACCTACACGCCATCATTTATGACAATACTGCTACCCACCTGCAACTGGGGTTATTATAGTTACTTATGACACTGACTGGGCCCCCAAGTGGCCCTGCAGTGGCGGCTTTGTGCATCTCTCATAACTCTGGGTGTTACCTGTCTGAATATCAATGGGAGCAGAATGAGCACTCGTTGAGTGCCCTGCTCGGCAGTAGCTGACTGGATATATTACTAGCAGGGGTCATACTAAAGTTGAAGCTTCGCGAGATGGATCACAGTGGCAGCTGAGCTTTGACCTTCCCACCAGCTTTAGGAACTGAGTGAGACTGTAGCGTGAAGCATCGTTAGGCCTGGCTTTCCACTGCCTTCCATCAGGGCTCCTTTGAATGGAGGCATCTTCAGGCCTTGATCTGTCATTTCCCCATAACCACACGGTCTTTTGCTTATCTTCATTTCATAACACTAAGCATCTTATGTAAGTATGGTTGCTTATCATTCACATTTATAGAGAATTGCCTTATGAATCTCTAATCCCTCAACAAGTAATCATCATCAATTACATATAACAATTATCAAATTAGAAATGGAGTCATTGTTGAAGTAGGTGATAAAATGGAAGTTTTAAAAGAAATCAAAGCTACATAAAAATTATGAAGGAAAATATCAAATGGGAGAATTGTGTATAATATGTTCAAAGCCTACACTTAGCAATTACACATTTATAGAAGGTAAGCAGTACTAGCAATTCTATGGGCTAGAATTTTATATCAACTTTTACCTAAAAGACAAAAACTAATTATTTTTAGTAATATGCCCATTTTTGATCCTATGGATAAATATTTTATAAATTTTATATCCTAATATGTCTGATGACATAAGACGAATAACTAGAAGTTTCAACTAAAGTATCAGATATTAACATATTAATAAATTTGTTAATTCATCTTTGAGGAGACATGAATCTGGATTTAGCATTTAGCCACAGCATACCTCTGAAGTTTGTAGAGTGTAAAGAAATGAAAAAGGCCTTTCTTTTTATTTACAGCTGTCTCCTTTCCTTCTCATCTGTTATTCAAACAATGATTTGTCTCTTATCTGTTTTAGAAGTAGTTTATGCAACACAAAAAAGTCAAATAGGCTAAATGTGCTATTTATCCCATTTAACAAGATTTATGGTTGTAACTGAATTTTGTCAATGTAAATCTTGGGCCAAATGAAGTGTGTTTCGGGGCCTCCTTAGCAGCAGTTCACAGCTAGGAGTTCCCCAGTTCCCCTGATCTCTTCTCCATTGTGAGTCTGTGAGGCAGGAGCACCCTCAGAACCCACCCTAACCCTGCCTGGGTGCAGGCTTTGTGTATCCTAGTGCACAGCACATTTCTTGATTTTGAAGATGGAAATAATTTAAAAATGATGAATAGATGAAAGAAAATTAATAATACAAAATAAAACCACAAATAGTATGTTTTATTATGTAGCAGAAGATAATTTAAAAAGCATAATAATCTGCATTAAACACCTTAAACAAAGGAGGCGGCTGGAAGACTAAAACTGTCCAGGACATGTGATGTGAACATGGTATCAGAGTCATTCATATATTTTTTATGCTTTTTTTAGTTGCATATTTTTAAAGTTTAATTCATATTTTTATTTTATATATATTAAAAGGGACCAGGATTGATAAACCATGACATGTGTCATTAGTACAAGTGCCAGGGAAGATGTAGGAAGGTCAAAACTCTCCCCATAGTTACAGTTTTAAAACCAAAGGAAAAAGCATGTCTTTCTCTGCCGGGAGACCTTTCCTCACTCCTGTTGTTCGTCTACAGTGCATGCAGGGCAAAACTAAGGTGTAGCGAGAGCCGAGCTGCTGCTGTGGACTGTTGGCTCTGGCTTCCACCAGGGCCTCTTAGGAGGCCAGGTCTGGACACTGCCTCAAGTGTGGAGCAGATAGATGCTCTGTCTTCTGGAAAGGGACCCTGGCCACAGAGCAGCCAGGAGCTATGGGCTGCAGTCCAAGCTTCCAGGCTGTCCTGTGTGGGTCCTTAGTCGGCATTGTCTTTAAACTCAAGGCCTCCTAAATGGTTTAGCTGCTCTTCTGTGATCTGTTCCCATAGCATTTCACCTGCTCTCAAACTGTATGGCTTTGCTTTGACTCATTGTGGGAATTTGACCCATGATTATACTAAGAGAAGAAAAAATCAACTTACCTGATATTTCTGTTGTTTTGATTGAAGTCTGATTCTCAGCTTTAAAGGCAAGAAAAGAAAAAAAATCACTAAAATTCAACCTCAAACATCAGATCTGCTTTTACATGGTAAATGGATACAGACCTTAGCTTCAGATAGTACGCAAGTATAGATCTTAGCTCATTTCTGATTCACTTCTTCCCCTCAAATCATAAACTCATGAGGCTTCAGAATGAGAGGGAATTTTGGGGAAGAAGTCAACTATCCTTTTTCTTAAATGCCAAATATTTTAGCCGTCGTAAGCTGTAGAGTCTGGGTTACACCTCCTCAACTGCTCCTGTTAGTGTGAATGCAGCCTTATGTAGTACCTACAGAATGGGCATGGCTGTGTCAATAAAACTTTATTTAGTAAAACGAGGGGCCAGATTTGGCCTGTGGAGCAGCATGGTTGCATCCTGCTTTAGGGCATTTAGTACAACTCCACATCTGGAAAACTGGAGGAGCTCAGAGTGTGTGACAGGTACATGGATAAGTGCTTTGTGGACAGTGTTGTGCTGTATTGAGATCCTACTAAGACATGATGCTTCTCATAAGCTGGGGAAGGTGCAGAGAGGCTCAGGTAGACAGTTTGGAAACTTGGGAAATTCCCTTATGTAAATACAGTTTAGGAGAGCTTTCTGCAATAATGTCCCTTCAGAGAATTATAACAAAGATCCCTTCCCTAACTTTGAATATATTGGGCAACAAATAGGATTTGCCACATGAAAAACACAGAAAATAATTTTAAAACAAATAGAAGCCTAACAGTGACATTTAAAAAATATCTGCTTGCCTTCTTTGCAGAGTCACTTGTCCATCAATCCCAGCGTCTCTCATTGCTCAGGCCCCAGGCAGAGCTCTTGCCTGTTCCTGCAAACCTGCCTCTGCCCTACCACCTGCTCTGCTTCTGTTCATGTAGCACCTGGATCTCTTCCTTGAGAACCTCCCACAGCTCCTGGAAAAATCTTGGAAAATTCAGACTCGGCTACCCCAGCAGCACCCTGCTCCCAACAGTGGCTGGCTAGTCCTCCCCAGAGGCAGGCACCTGTCTTGCTTGCCACTTCCTCTCCACTGTCCAGCCCATTGAGCCCTGTTCCACCTGTGACTCTTCCTGCCTGATCTCTCTTTCTTCTCTAAAACACTGTGTATTGTCTGCTGGAACTAACTCCATTGGGAGAGACTTCTTGTCTTGCTTAGAGCTGGGATTCCAGTGCCTACCACCAGGACCTGGCAGATGAGATAGAAAATAGTAACAATAAATCAGAACAACTCTCCCTCCCCGAATTGATCCTTGTTTAGAATTGCCACTTGGATAATGATAGCATTGTTACGCAGCTTTTATGATCAGTTCCATATACTATTTGCTGATGCTTATAAGACAGATACAGTATTATTCACATTTATTATTAGCTGAGGGAAAATACATTAGTCTTTCAAAAGTAGAACCAGGAGTATATTTCAGGTGTGTTGGTTTCAAATCCATTTTCTTTCACTAAAGGAGATAGCTTTTCTTTCCAATAAACTACTCCAAATAAGAGCTTGTATGGTTAATTCTTATTTTTGATAACTAATTACAATACTTTTGAAACTTATAGCATGATGTATTTAGATGATACAGTTAAAAAATAGCTGCTGGAGGATTAGAATACAGAGAAAATAAAAATCCTTTGTTTCTCTTATTAATATCAGATCATAAACTTTTTTGCTCATAGACTTGGTTGGGAGTGAAAAACTTTAAGCTTGTATTAGACAAAACGTTCTGACTATCCTTTATTTGCATTTCATTTAGTTTTGTAAATGCTTTATAATTTTATAGGCACATAAAATATACAGAAAATATACCCATGCCTTAAGACATAGCTGAATCTTAAAATTATATTGAGTATCCTAAGAGGCTCAGATTTTACCTACATATGAGTTAATAAATTGTTACTCTGAGGACAAAATTCTGTAAACCTCAAGTATTTAATTAGGAATAGAATTACATATTTCCCACTCCCCCAGTCAGCAAGATATTTTGAAGATGAAAAAATGTTTTCATATAAGTACAACTTTCAAACTGGACTCAGTTTTGTGGATGGATATAAAGGCTTAGGAGAGATGAATGCTATGAAATATGGCTAAGTTCAATGATAACTGAAGACATTTCTGATTACTCTTTGTTTTCATTTATGACTTTCATGGCATGAACGTGAAGAGGCCAAGTTCTGATCTATGGAGGAAATGGGGAGATTCTAATAGCAAATGAGTGTAAGGTGCTTCTGTTAATCACTGTTAAATTTAGATGTTCAATGAAAACCCGACCTTTAGTCACTATGGTTGGCAGCTTAGAAACCTGTCTGTTGATTTTGATTGCCTAACATGAAAAGGAAGTTTTATGAAATGCAAATGAATTTTAAAATGCTGATCATACTGATGTAAAGCAAAACTTTACTCAAATAGTTATCTTTTAAATCAAAAATCTTTACTATGAATATAACAAATCTTTGCCAAATATTCAAATCTTCAAAGGGCATCATATTTCTAGCTAGTAAGTTACAGTTGCACATAGAACATGTGTGTAGTGAAAACAATTTTTCATTGATTCACTGTAAAATAATTGATCATGACCATGATTCAAATTTTCCATATTTTCCCCCCACACGGCATTGAATGAGTCACTTGGTCATGAGGTTATTTCTGGTTTAGGCTAAAGCATGAAATGTTTTGAAGGCTTTACAGTATTATACTGAAGATTCCTCTTGTACCTGCCCACATGAAATGGTATGAATGAACTAAATACTATATAAGGAAGATTATGGGTAAGGGCCCAAATAAGAGACAGCAATGAATGGTACAATTCACAATAACAGTTGAGGCTAAGTGAGCAATCAGAAAAATTGATATTTCCAAAGAGTGGGATGACAGCGTCATATGAGAGATCCTATGAGGTGATATGATTGGAATATTCAATGAGAAAACTGCTTCCTTTTCACTTTGTTTCAATTTATTTGGTTATTTTGATGAAAATATTTCAAAATTTCAGTTTGGTACATACGTCTAGCATGTGTTTACCTGGAATTATTTTTTTTAAACAAGAATGAGGAATATTTGCACAGCTTGTAGAAGAAGAAGCAGAAAATCTGCACCTTCCTTCAGCTTCCTGAAGAACAGTGTCCAGAGACAATTTACACATTCATGTTAATAAAGGTAACAGCGGAAAGTTTTATTTTTGAGAGCACTATGGTGATTCTGATTTCCTACTAAAAGTACTTATTTGATTTAGATTTTATAAAGAATTTCTCATATGCATTAGTTATCAGCTAGCTATTAAAAGCTGAGTAGAAGTTTTCCTTTGTGTAGTTTAGTACATCATGGTTTAGATCTAAAATGTCCCTCCAACGTCGCCTGTGTTTTGGAGGTGGGGCTTAGGAAGGTGACTAGGCCATTGATGAGATCATGATTGGGTGGCACTAACAGGAAATGATGGAAATTTAGAGTGCTGGGGTCCTGTTGAATGGAGTGGGTCTGCGAAGCATGAGCTTGGGAACTATGTCTTGTCCCTGCCCCCTTCCTTTCTACCTGTGGCTTCCATGAGGTAAACAGCTTTACTCTAGTGCCCATCTGCCACGATGATCAGGTCTAAATGGAACCAGATGATTATGGACTGAAACCTCTCAAACCATGAGCCAAAATAAATCTTTCTTTCTCTAAGTTGATTTTCTCAGGTATTTGGTCACAGTATTAGAAAGCTTACTGACACACTATTTACTTCTTAAAATTTCTCTCTGTACAAAAATTCATTTATAGCAACTTTTGTAAATTGCTATATCCATTCATCTAGTTTTGATTTCCATACTCAGGGCTCTTTTGCAGATAATTTTGCAGTTTATAATATTGTTTCTTTGTAAATGTCTGGCACTTCTCAACAAGTTTTCCAGTTCCTTTAGGTCAGGAACTTGTGTCTAATTGTATATTCCTATTATATACAATAAGAGCTCCTAATGTATACCTTAGATTTTTTGAGAGTTTTAAATTTTATTTTACCACACAAACTCTTTGTTTGCTTGAGAGACAATCATCTAAAACTTGGACAATCATAAATAGAAAATAATGTAGGGATTAGTAAATGATAGATAATCTTTGCTTCTTAATTTGGATTGATGGCATATTTCTATCTGATTAATAAGAATATAAAACTAATCTAGATAATCGAGATTCTGAGCAATTTCCCCTCTTTTGCTAAACATATTTTCTTTATGTACAGAATGTGTTAAGCATGACAGTCCTGGGTGGCTGTCTTCAACAATGTCAAAGGTTGGGTTTTTTCATAAAATACTATTTAAACATTGAGTCTCTTACAATGACTCAGAAAGTCAGGGTTGAAATGACCTCTTGCCTCCCTGTTAATATTCTTCACTCTGAATGCTTCTCTGCTGATATTAATGTAGGCTTTCAGTTTTCTTCTCATTTTAACCAGTGTATATTTAAAGTGGGGTTTTTGAATGCTGCATGTAGTTGGGTTATACTTTTGATCCAATCTTACAGTCTCAACTTTGTAATGGAAATGTTTAAACCATTTCATTTTATGTGATTATGGTTATAATTGGTATAAAAATATGATCCTGACACTTTTTAATTGTCCATTTGTTCTCTATTTCTTTTTTTCTTATTGTCTTCTTGTGATTCAATTCAATGTACTTTTTTTTTTTTTGGTACTGGGGATCAAACTCGGGTCCTTGCGCTTGCAAGGCAGGTGGCGGAACCACTGAGCTAAATCCCTGGTCCTCAATTCAATGTACTTTAAGATTATACTTTAAGATGATCTCCATTACTGACCTTACACCAGTATATTTATCTTTCTACCATATTGGCTTTCGTATTATTTGTGTACTTTACTTCTACAGTATGTTTACACCTTCAATATGCTTTTGCTAATTTTTTCTTTAAACAATCAATTATCTTTTGAAAAGCCTAAAAATGCATTAAGTCTTTTTACTTACATATTTACCATCCCCAGTGCTCTCCATTCCTTTATTTGG